GACATAGTCAACAGCAAGATAATTATATAATATTATCCAGTGGCTGGATATAAAAGAGAGTATGAAAAATACAAAACAAATGGTAGAACCAAAAGCTTCGGTTCCTCGGCTCAAGAAAAAGGTTATGCAAGAAGAGCCAAATTTGGTCTATTTGGAGGTAGTCGTGATATTTATAAAGCAATCGCCAAATTACCAAAACCGGAGTCAGTTTTCACTCTTCCTGGACACAAATACACTGGACCCTACAATCCACTTGACAAACAATTGAAATATGACAAAGATACTGGCAAAATACTTGAGATATATGACAAACCAACCGGAAAAACAGATGCCATTGCAATGCAGCATGATCTTGATTATTCTATGTGAAACATAACAAAAAGTGCAAGAATGACCAGATCGTAAAATGGTTAAAGCACTTGATGCTGTACCCTATAATGAAAGACAGTGGGGACAGTTTTTGGCCCGTAATATGATAAATACAAAACAGAAACTTGGTATCGGTGGTTCAAAAAAGGAAAAGAGCCGTCGAGTGAAAACTGGCAGGAAAAACTAGCTGATGAATTGGGCAAACCAATCAAAAGAGAATTCACCCTGCAGTGCGTTATTGTCAACAGTATTGATGAAATTTGGGCACCAGATTTGGTTGACATGCCGCAATTCAGTAAATGGAATAAAGGATACATATATCTGCTCATGGTTATTGATGTTTTCAGCAAATATGTTTAGATGAAACTTTTGAAGGACTATAAAGGTGAAAGTGTGACTGAAACATTTGATACAATAGTCAAAGAAGGCAGACAACCACAATATCTTTGGGTTGATAAAGGAAAAGAGTTTTATAACAAACATCTCAAAGAATTGTTGGACAAACACAGCATAAAAATACACTCAACAGAAAATGAATAAAAATCCTGTGTTGCTGAAAGATGGAACAGAGCAATAAAACAGAGAATGTGGAAACAATTCACAGTTCAAGGCAACACATAATATCTTGACATACTGCCACAAATATCGACAAAATACAACAACACAAAACATTCAAGCAAAAAAAATTGACACCAATAGAGCAAGTAAAAAGAAGAATAAAGGAACAGTTTATTTCAACATGTATAGTGACATGGAGTCATTAGCAAAACCAAAATTCAAAGTTGGTGATAAAATCAGAATATCAAAATATAAGAGAAAGACATTTGAAAGAGGACATACTCCAAATTGGACAGAGGAGGTTTTCATCATTGATAAAATGCAATACACAAATCCAATCGCGTACAAAACAAAAGACTTGAGTGATAAAGGTATTAAAGGAAGTTTTTACACCGAAGAATTATCAAAAGCCACACAAGATGTTTTCAGAGGTTATGAGATGTTTTCAGATGAGGTTATTCGGAGAGATTACAAGAAGAAACAAGCTTTGGTAAAGAGGAAGTGATCAAGTGATGATTTCAACAGCTGGATACCAATGAAACACTTGCTTAATTTATGATAGCCATCCGTTGTGGTAAAACCTAGCCCGTAAAAAAATGGGTCAGGTCTGTGATGTATACATTTTAGCGATTGCTACACTATTTTCATTTAAAAAATATTATTTGGATATCTCATTTACAAATTTTATAATGAACATATTTGCTTTTGTTCTTCATTATCGAACCATATGTCGGACATTTATACCCCTTTTGTTGCCATTTTCTTGTGAATTTTTTTTCTCATCTGTTGATAATAATTTTCTCCATTTTTAAATAACACAATCTGTTTTAGATCGTCTTTTTGAATATACTCGAATTTATACTCACGATTGTCTTTCTTTGGAGTACTTGTTTCACAAATTTTTCCACACAATCTATTTTCATAATACCTGAATTAATAGGATGATGTATTTGCACCAAATAAAGACTGTCGTAATATTTGACTTCCTCTGTCGTGCAATTGATCGATTGATCGACCATTTTTCGAACTTGTTTTAGATAAGAATAATCACAATATTTTACTGATCTCTCACAATTTCTTTTTGCGTCATAACTTGTAGATTAGACAAACAGTTGCCTTGATTACTTTCATTTACCATTACTTTTCATTTACTGTTAAGAAAGATTACAAAATTGAAGAGCAGAATAACATCAATGTCAATTTATTTGGGTATGAAAACAGACAGCCATATCCAATTTATGTATCAAAAGAAAAGTTTGAAAATGAATTGAATCTTTTATCAATAACAGATTGTGAAAACAAGCATTATGTCCTCATCAAAGACTTTAACATGCCCATATATCACAAAACAAAACATCAACATAAAAAGTATTTTTGCATGTACTGTTTGCAATGTTGCAGCAGTGAAGAAGAAATACTTAACAGACACAAAACTGACTGTTACGTGATAACTTCCTGATAAAGACAATAGTGCACTGAAATTCAATCATTTTCAAAAACAATCACCAGTACGTTTCATCATCTATACAGATTTTGAAATAATAACAGAAAAGATTCACACATTTGCACCAGACAACAAACAATAATGAATCATACACTGAAGCATATCAGAAACATACAGACTGTGGATATGGTTACGAAGTAGTTTGTTGTTGTGATGACTAATACAGGAAGCCAATTTAAATATACAGAGGAGAAGATGCTGTCTATAAATTCATGGCAGGAAAAGAAGAAGTTGATTGCTGCAAAAAAACAGCAAGAGGGCACTGTAATAAACCATTGAAAATGTCTGATGAAGATAAACACAAATTCAAGCAGGCAAGAGAATGTCACATTTGCGGTAGATCATACAAAAAAAATTATAAAACAGAGTAAGAGACCGCTGCCACATCACAAGAAAGTACAGGGGGTCACCTCATCAACATTGTGATATCAGTCACTTCTGATGAAAGGTTGATAAAATCAAGAAACCAGTTATCTTGCACGATCTGCGAGGCTATGACAGCCATATTATTATGCAAGAGATTGGTGAAATAGCCAAAAAACATATATACAATAACAATTTGTAAAATTACTCATCGTTTCAGAACGCAACGGGAAATTGTCGATGAATTGTTTCAGAAAAAGCAAAATACAAAATTTGTCTCTCCTCCAACTAATGAAGCACATTGAGATAAAGCTTGTTGCATATTCTTCTCACAAGTTGATATTTCATTTTTCAGAGCAGATATAGACTTTACCATCTTAAACTTTACTGCAAAACTTTATCGTGAATAAATTTCTTTTAATCTTGAAATATGTGTCATTGCTCAATGGCGTCAATACGTGGGCAGTAAGTGAATTACTGAGAAATAAAAACATCCTGGATTTGTCAGAATTCTTGTTTTGCTATTGCATAATTTCATCAGATAATTTCATCCAATTATTTCAGCAAATTATTCCCATGATATGGTGAGTGGTATAGTAGATGGTGACCAAGATGTAAAATTTCAGCTTGGTCGTTTAATAAAAAAGATCTCTTGTCATCAGCGTTGGAGAACGAGCCAGGCTTAAATTTGAAATTCTATACCTCGAACTTGCTTTTAATAAATATTTCAGAAGGAATTTATTAACTATCGGATCACTTTATTGACAAGCCAACAATCCAATTAGAAAGTATCATTCTCAAAATAACTTCATACTGTCCAACTCGAACAGCTGAAAATTTTTCATGCGCTATGCAAAATTCTGTAAGTTGAGTTTTGCGGAAAAATTTCATATTTATGGCAGTTTATATTAGGTTCTTCTCACTCGGTACTCAACTTTTTATTGCAATCTTTTTTGTAACCCCAGTTACATGCACTAATAACTTAAAAATTCTTAAAGAATGTGTTCAAAAAGCAAAACCTCGATGTCCCCACTTTGCAACTTAAAAAGTTTAGTAACTCCAGCCGTTATAATTGTGTGAGTGTCAGATATGAAACGAATTTTTGCCGGAAGGATCGTAAAAGTTTTCAAAAACAAGTAGGAGACTAACAAAGAATCCTAGTCTTGAATAATTGATTAGTTTAAACAATTCTTTAAACTGACAAAACGTATGGACCTGAATAACATGTAAAGTTATGTCATGCAGGACCGCAAATAATTTTGTAGCCCGCAAAAATTAAATGAACTGTTTCGGCATCTTTTTAATTTCTTTGCCTTGCCTTCCTGGAAAGTCCAACTCGAAATTCCAGCTCGAAATCCGACTCAAAATCCTAACTCGAAGGAGTGTTTGCTCAAAAGTAGAATTTTGAGTTCGTATTACGACCTCCAGTCGCCAACAATCGGTTTTCGATCGCTGTTCAAGTGACTGCTCGATAACGGACAAACTCCAAATTCTAACTCGTTAACAGCTCCTTACTTACTACCCTAAATGATACAGCTCTAACCAGCCTTTCTCCATTACTCATTTCATATTGCATTTCCTGACCACAATGCAAATGAAGCTAATGGTAGAAATCCGCAACTATCGAATGACAAAATACGTTTTGGTATTGAAATATCATCCGTTTTCCTCAAATTTGAGGTCCAGTTTGGTAAATATATATAACTTTTCTGTACCTGCAATTCTGAATAAATAAAATAATGAAAACCAAGTCAAATCACAAACACAGAAGCATGCATGGGGATCGTGAACTCACTGAAAACGAGTCTACGGATTAAAAATAAGTTTAGGGAAAGTTTTAGCGCAGAAGATTATTTGCCTTTTTCTTTTCAGGGAATGCCATTCCCCAAAACATGAGTCGAGCAAATATGAGTATTTCCAAAGTCACTTTTGACCTGTTTCTTTATTGGAAGGTGTCATACGAATCACTCAGAACTTTTCCATAGTCATAAAAAGTTGCAGAAATGTTAATGTGAGGTTTTTGACTGATTGAAAATTTCAAAATGTGATTAATTTTAGTAGCCATTATTCTCCTGGGTAATTCCTCCTTAGGAGGTACAATAACAGGATAATACTACCCAATGAAAATAGCTTCCTTCCCACCTGTTAATAAGGTCGGACAGCACTTGCGTCGGTATCAATTGCAAGAGCTGCAGTAACATACAGACAAGAATCGCCAGCAAAGAAACATTTTCGGAGAAAACGGTAGGAAATAATTTTGTTTGGGCTTAGTTGTAGAGTATTTCGTTTACAAATAGAGCTATGTAAGAATGGCATGGCTACGCAAAGGTATTTTCTGGTAAAGAAAAAAAAAGAGGAAAACGAAAACTTTCGGTGTCTCGATGAAACCTAGAAATTATGTCAAAAAATTGGACGAGTTTATTTCTGGCAAAAAGAAGCTTAATTGCTGCGGTAAGAGTATAAAATAGGATGGAGGAGATATTAGCTTAGTCAGGAGAGTTCCTACGAAGGCAGCGGTCTCTTCCATTATTTTTTATTTTTCACTTCCATCGGTGTCTCCCTCCTTCGCCAAATCTTGAATATTTTTGCGAGAAAAGCTAAAACATGAAGAAATATGTGAAATCGTTTCATAAGTGACGGAAAGCCATTGCAAGGACTCAAATCCCAGCATATTTTAAAAAAGAACTCATTTATTGATAAACTAAGCACTGTATTCCTCCCACGAAGCGACTATACTCGAAACTTCAGTTTTTCAAACCTCGCTGCGGTGGTTTTCGCTTATTTTATAAACTCATGGTTGATTATTAACTGATTTTTTCCTTTTGCTCAACGATACAGCAACGTAAACAAATCTTTCAGAAACCAGTAACCTCCTGTCTTTCGCCAAGTTTAAATGCAAGGGCTCTTCAGCTTCCTGCACTGAATTTCGTGGAGATCATTTGGGTGAAGATGGAATAAAACGGTCGTGTTAGAAATCTGACTCAAGTTTGAAAATATCCTGATTCCCCGCGAAGATTCCAGCCTCAGACACTTAAAGCAGTCCCTGACAAGCACCGACTACACTTTTTTATATTTCATTAATATTTTTGTTGAATAATGCAATTTAAAAATTTTCCGTATTCCGTTTGGTAAATGAAGCATACCATTTCCACCCAAAGAAAATTGGCGTTTCATTCTACTGCCTACATTGCGCTGTTTACATTTGTATTCTCACTCGGTACTCAACTTTCTATTTCAATCTTTTTTGTAACTCCAGTTGCATGCACCGATTACTTGAAAATTATTAATGAATGTTTTTAAAGGAAATATGTCGATGTTCCCACTTTGCAACTTGAAAAGTTTAGCAACTCCGGCCGTTATAATTGAGTGAGTATTAGAAATGAAACGAATTTTTTTTTTCCGGAAGGATCGCTAAAATTTTAAGAAACAAGTAGGAGACTAGCAAGGAATCCGAGTATTGAGTAATTTATTAGTTTAAACAATTCTTAAACAAAACAAAGCGTACGGACCTGACCAAGATGTAAAATTTCAGCTTGGTCGTTAAATATAAAAGATCTCTTATCATCAGTGTTGGAGAACGAGCCAGGCTTAAAGACACACACAAATTTGAAATTCAATATCTCGAACTTCCTTTTAATAAATTTTTTTAAAAGGAATTTGCCAGATATTGGAAAACTTTGATGGCAAGCCAACAATCAAATTAGAAAGTATCATTTTCAAAATAACTTCATACTGTCCAACTCGAACAGCTGAAAATTTTTCATGCGCTATGCAAAATTCTGTAAGTTGACTATTGTGGAAAAAAAAAATCTACTTTATGGCAGTTTATATTAGGTTTTCTCACTCAGTACTCAACTTTTTATTTCAATCTTTTTTGTAACCCCACTTGCATGTAAGGATAACTTGAAAATTCTTGATTAATGTAATCAAGGAACAACAATATCTCGATGTCCCCACTTTGCAACTTGAAAAGTTTAGTAACTCCGGCCGTTATAATTGTGTGAGTGTCAGATACCAAACGAATTTTTGCCGGAAGGATCGTAAAACTTTTCAAAAAGAACTAGGAGACTAACAGGAATACGAGTCTTGAATAATTGACTAGTATAAACAATTCTTAATCAAAACAAAGCGTATGGACCTGAATAACATGTAAAATTAAGTCATGCAGGACCGCAAATAATTTTGCAGCCCGCAAAAATTAAACGAACTGCTTCGGCATCTTTCCAAGTTCTATGCCTTGCTTACTGGAGCAAAGAGTGTTTGCTCAAAAGTAGAATTTTGAGTTCGTATTACGACCTCCAGTCGCCAACAATCGGTTTTCGATCGCTGTTTAAGTGACTGCTCGATAACGGACAAACTCCAAATTCTAACTCGTTAACAGCTCCTTACGAACAATCCTAATTATTACAACTCTAACCAGCCTTTCTCCATTTTTCACTTCATATTGCATTTCCTGACCACAATGCAAATCAAACTAATGGTTAAAAACCGCAAATATCGAATGACTAAATACGTTTTGGCATTGAACAAACATCCCTTTTCCTCAAATTTGAGGTCCAGTTTGATAAATATATATGACTTTTCTGTGCTTGTAATCCTTAGAAAATAAACAAATGAAAATAAAGTCAAATTAAAAACATAGAAGCATGCATGTTGATCGTGAACTCACGAAAAACCAGTCTACGGATTAAAAAGAAGTTTAGGGTAAGTTTTAGCCCAGAAGATTGTTTGCCTTTTTCTTTTCAGGGAACGTTTTTTCCCACATCATGCGTCGAGAGGAAATGGCCAAAATGGTCTTGTACGCAGTAGGGCTGTTGATCAAAACCGTGCTGTTATGCTGTACAGCTGCACAGCAATGGGAGGCTACGGGCCAGCGGGAAGTTTCCAAATTTGGTATGATGCTACAACGCCACATCTTCAAGAGGATCACGGGGGCTGGTCTTTCAGATGTGTGCTTGCGGGGATGCTATGCTGACGTCAGATGTCAAAGTTTCAACTATGTCTTTACGCAAGACATTTGTGAGCTGAGCAACCGAACCAAGGAGGCCAGACCAGAGGATTATGTTCCGAACCCTGAGAGATTTTACTTTAAGCGAGATTACAAACGAGGTTTGTAAATTTTTTTACTGTCTTCTTCCCTTTAAAGACATTTTCAGAGCGCAGAATTTCAACCCAAAATTAATAAATTGTGTCACATCACTTCCCTTTATTGCCTTAAGTCAAGTCGCCCTCAAATTGAGTGTCCACGCCCCCAAGACGAACATCAAATCTTGCTTACTTGGAATACTATGCCACTATGATTGCTATTTCTTTCAGTCCCTCTCGGTTCCATTCCTGAGCTGCCTGCGGAGACTTGCCAGGAAATCAAAATGAGCGAAGGAGGACAAGCGGTCAGCGGCAAATACTGGTTTCACTCGATTGTACCCGAGAGAACTGTTCTGGCTCCTTGTGACATGAAAACAGAAGGTGAATTTTTAAATTAAAACACTTAAAAGTGGTTATCAATTCACATCTTCTACAGACAAAATCGGTTTACCACCAGCAAAAGCGTTGACGGAGATATTATGGGTAGACTGCAACCACCTGACCCCCCTCCCCCCATCCCAATATTCATAGGGTGAAATGAGAAAATAAAGCAAAACAAAACAAAATAAAAATAGTAAGATATCTGACAGAAACAAAGCTATGAAGGAATGCTATAATCTCTCTTAAACTGATCAATTTGAGAACAAGTCAAATAGAATGAAAAAATTTCTTTTTTGACACAGAGATAATCATTCAATAGCAAATTGTTATCACAACTTTATAGTGACGAAATTTAACGAATAGGGAAGGGGAAATTTTGCTTCCTGATGGGGTCGTACAAAGTAAAATTTTGGCTCCCGCCGGAAGCAATTGGTCTGATGAATCCATGAATGAGTAATAATTCAGCTCCTTTTTTTTTCTTTTAAACTAACCGCAGACTATTCCGTTTTTTCAGACGTGGACGAGTGTAATTCGACCATTCCCGTGTGTGACGTTAACGCTGAGTGCGTGAACACCATCGGTTCTCACAGTTGCTCGTGCAAAGCTGGTTTTACTGGAAACGGAAAAAATTGTGTCGGTAAGTTAGTGAAATGACTTTCACTATTGCCTGAAGCAAGTCATTTTAAAACAAAGCAAAACCAAAACAATCCCGGCTTAATCTGGACACTCGATTAAAACAAATTGCTTTAATAACCGATTGGAATTATTTCCCACACCATGTCACGTTCAATTGCTTATACGGCGAGACGCTTTCGCCAATAACAGTCATTTTCGATCGACTGTTGCTCTTGAGTTCAAGCCATTTAGTTTTTTATACATTTTCTCAGATGTCGACGAATGTGCCAATAAATCGCATGACTGTGACGTCAATGCCTACTGCAACAATACCGTTGGTTCCTATCGATGCACCTGCAATTCCTGGTACCAAGGAAACGGAACAAGCTGCTATTTTCGTGAGTTTAACTAACATTGAGATACGAGTGACCTCAGTTTGTTATGATACTCGTATTTCGCCTTCTCTATCTTTCTGTATCGTCATATGAAGCTTACAATTTTGGAAAATATATTTTTTTTAACATGAGTCGGTCCTGAATCGAGACCAAGATGGAATTCGTCCTGAAAACGGGCTACATTATGACCCTTTACTCCTTAGCATCAGTACAGATATTCTCCTCGCTGTTCTCTATGCATACCGTGTGGTGCTGCCAAGGGAATTTGTTTGACAATCAACAGCTTTATAACTTGGTGATTATTTCCTTTATTCCCATGATTCTGATGTTTGGTTCGGCAGTAATACGGTGAGGAGAAGTTAAATGCCAAACCCTCTTAGGGGTTAAAGGGTTGAAGAATACGTCTCACTTGGCGCCTAACTTACCATCCCCCCCCTTAAAAAAAAACAGTTTCATTGATCTTTACAGTTTGTTGCTTACAACTATGTCGAACTTTCTATCTTGATCAGCCGAATCACTCAGAACTTTTTCCATAGTCAAAAAAGCTGCAGAAATGTTAACGTGAGTTTTTTTGACTAATTGAAAGTTTCAAAATGCGATTAATTTTAGTAGCCATTATTCTCTTTGGTAATTCCTCAATAGGCAGGTACAACAACAGGATAATAGTACCCAATGTAAATAAGATCCTTACCACCTGTTAATAAGGTCGGACAGCACTTGCTTCGGTACCAGCTACTTTTTCGTGAGTTTAACTAACATTGAGGCACGAGCGACCTCAGTTTGTTTTGATACTCGCATTTCGCATTCTCTATCTTTCTTCACCGTCATATGAAGCTTATAATTCTTTGGAAATTAGTTGTCAAATATATATATATTTTTTAACATGAGTCGGTCCTGAATCGAGACCAAGACCCTAGGCAAGACGGAATTCATACATACCGTATGGTACTGTCAAGGAAATTTGTTTGACAATCAAGAGCTTCATAACTTGGTGATTATTTCTTTTATTCCCGTGATTCTGATGTTTGGTTCGGCAGTAATACGGTGAGGAGAAATTAAATGCGAATCCTTTGAACTTTCTATGTTGATCAACCTTAATTCTTAATTTTTCATTCTTATCACGTTTTTATCGCGTGGTTTCCTCTAATTCTAAGAAAACATTAGTTGGTGCAAATAACGAGGCGAGATATGATCAGGTGTACTGGGTTTAGCAATCTGGAATGTCATAAAAACACGCTTTCATCGTGTAAACACGTCTATAAGGGAGACAGGGTTTCCATAAGAGCACCTCCCAGTTCACACGGGGTTGGAAAGGCAAGTTGTGTCTTAGATCGATGTGCGTCACACAACGGTTGTCACGCTGTAATTCGTAAAAACGAAAAAGCAAGTTGTAGACATTACCACCACCAAGATGACGAATTAAACATGACGCCAAATCTTCAAGGTAGGGCGATCCTTATTTTTTCTCCCTTTTTCGGTTTTTCGTATAGGTGGCCTTAATAATTCCGTTATTCTTACCAGCCTCGACTACAACAACTACACAGGTAAGCTGCTTTCTTACCTAGAGCCAGTCCTCCTGAGTTCAAAATGGAGCAGGTTTGTGAAGTGTTGGCATGCTAAGACAGACGGCTGGGCAGCATCGACATTCCACAGCAACTGTGATGGGAGGGGACCCACAGTGACAATCATCAAAGTGAACGATTACATATTTGGTGGATACACCGATGTATCATGGAGCAGTAAGTAGACTTTGGTCATTACTTTTTTTTTTCGGTGCAAAGTTTGAAAGATTTAGAAGGGAAAATAATTAACGTTGAAAGGCAATGAATCTAGCTTGGTGTCTGAAACAGAAAAAAAAAGGTCCCCTAAAAGGTGTTTCTTGAAATTCTTGGTAAAGTTACGGGCCCCAAAGCCATGTCTTACAACTACAGAACTTACATTTACTATATTCATACAACGCCACCCATAATACAGGTTCATGTGGGAACTCCCATGCTTGGAAAGCCTTTCTCTTCTCCCTCAGATTAACAACATCAAAGGACCGATCCATTTTGTTTTGTATCTTGATTTTCTTATCGTTTGAATTAAGAAACTATCCATAACTCGATCTTAAATGTAAAAACGGGTCTGGTCCCTGATCCTATACCTGTCTAATCTTTGAATGCATCTCTGCATTTCCATTTTAATCAACATTTTAGGTTCCTGTTTTTGGTCTTACGCCACCAAAGCCTTTTTATTCTCATTTAACAACATCAAAGGATACAATCCTGTGAAGCTGACACAATACCGAAACCAGCAATACGCAATGTACACATGTTCCTCTTACGGACCCACTTTTGGTGTAGGACATGATATCTACATACGTGACGACGCTGTAAACAATCAGTACTCTTATACTGAATGCGGCGAGACTTACTCCAACCCCACGGGTTATTCGGGTGTAAACTGTGGATTTTTCACAGGAAGTTATCATTTTACTCCATCTGACATTGAAGTTTTCTTCGAAATAGGTAAGTTATTGTACAGAAACAGTTAGAACCCTGTCGTAAATATACGATGAATAAATATATACACTCTATAATCCTTTGCAACGGTCAGGGATTCTAAAAGCGCATGTGCTGAACCATATTCAGCAGCGAAATACTATTGAGGTTATTGTGGCAGCAGTGGTCAGTGAACTGTATCTTAGTTCCGGCGTAGCAGTGCACATCAGGTAAGTCAGGGAAAAAATTGATCTAGATGCCATGTTTTGCCATGACATTGAATCGCTGAGTCGGGCTGAAGCAGACAGTTCAACCCAGCTAAACTGAACTTTTTCGTTTCCCAGTTTTATACGCACTTGAGAAAATGTGTTCTCGTGAAATTTAGTTGATATGTTTTCAAAATAAATGCACAGGAAAATTTTGAGTTAAATTGGGAACACATGGTTAGCACCTCGCCCTGTGAATAAGAACATCTGGAGCTCTGATTTTTGTGAAATACTCTCATGGTTGTGAAAGAAGAAAAAACATCTTTCTCTATTCTAGAACGTCCGTTATTATAATTTTCATTCGAGTTTCTTTTACGCACACAGGTGGCCTTGGTGCATCTATTATACTTGGAAGCCTGGACCCCAATAAATATTTGGGGAAGCTGATTTCGTTTTTAGACCCAGTTCTTCCCACTGCATCCCGTACTGACTTTGTTAGGTGTTGGTATGCTAAGACTGACGGCTGGGCGGCATCGACATTCCACAGCAACTGCGATGGGAGAGGACCTACAGTGACAATCATCAAAGTGAACGATTACATATTTGGTGGATATACGGATGTGTCCTGGAGCGGAGGCAGGCATATCAAATTTTTAAAGAGAGAACAAGATAATTTTATAGGATCAAGTATCATTCCTTTTGGGATTTAAGAGGAGGGGGCGGGGAGGACGCTAGAGGAAATATTAAACGATGCTTCTTTGATACTAGCTCTAAGCCTTTATTATTTCATATTAGTTTTTTGGCCATCGAGATTTCTTCAAACCTATATCGTCTATAGAAACGTTTCCTGTTTGATACACCAGCAGAACAACACTACATCCTAACACATCTAGTAATGACAACACTTAGAACAAAAGGATCTTTTCCTTTAAGTCTCAAAACATTTACTCGCTTTTCTTCACAATAATCCCTCAAATCTTTCATAATTGTTTTTGGTATCCGTTTCAATACCCAAACTAGTAAAATATCTCCCTCCCTTTCATAAATCTCTAGTCTGAAAAAAAAACTCTCCGTCTAGCTCATGATAGAAAATGAACTGCCCCCCCCCTTCTCAGGGGGTTTATGTTTTCTTCCAACTTTCTAATGTACAACTACATTGTTCTTCTATTTCAGCTGGTTCTTGTGCAGGTTATTCCTACGCCAGTAAAGCTTTCATCTTCTCTCTCTATAACGTCAAAGGATACAATCCCGTAAAGTTGACACAATACCGAAATCAGCAATATGCAATGTACAGATGTAATACGTATGGACCCATCTTTGGCGCTGGGTATGGTCATGATATCTACATATCCGACGGCTCTGGAAACAACCAGAACTCTTACACCAGATGCGGTTGTACGTACACGAAACCCTCAGGATACTCAACTGGTGACTGTGGTTTTTTTACAGGGGGGTATCATTTCTCTCCAACGGACGTCGAAGTATTCTATGAAGCAGGTAATCAAGAAAAACATCCCTTTCCAAGGATAAATACTTTGTAGGGCCTGTAGAAAAATCAAATCGCGTATTGTAGAAATATTCTCAGAAAGTTGTGTTGCTAGATTACGGAAAGCCTACTTTTTTGTCATTTTAAGGGCATGTGTAGGCTTATAAAGTCCTTTTGTAGTATTCATTTAAGTGCGTCACGCAACGCGTTGCATGACGAGCCTGACAAGACTTTTGTCTGAGTTGCCGCGGGGGTTTGTGGGTATTACATTAAACGAAATTGTTAAGGCCACTTGAAAGAACGGCTGAGTTAACAAAAAAATTTCAGACATGTTTTGATGCTACTCTGGCTCAAAGATTTTAATGAATGTAACCGAGACGTTACAATTCATAGACCCAATCTTTCGACACTCCTGTCTAGTGCATTCATCAGGGGTGATGATGAAGACATTAGACAGGAGGGTTGAAACGTTGGGTCTATGAATTGTAACTTTTCGGTTACACTCATTAAATCTTTAAACCAGAGTAGCATCAAACCATGTCTGATTGTCCATCTGGTTGCTTTGTGAACTTTAAAACAAATTTAGACGGGCTGAGGATTTTCTAACTTGCCGGATCAGTAATGTTAGATTATCATATCTAGCGGGCCAAACGAGGGGTGATGAAATTATCCACTTTAGATTCAAAGGCGACACCACCAATCAAAGCCAACTGTAATTTTTCCTTTCTTTTCCCACCTCAGGCCTCGGTTTGTCCGCCATACTTCGAAGTCTTGATTACAACCAGTACTTGAAGGTGCTGTTTTCGTATTTGGACCCAGTCCTTATCAATAAAGAACGTAGTAGGTTTGTGAGGTGTTGGCACGCAGGGATTGACGGTTGGGCAGCATCGACATTCCACAGTAACTGCGATGGGAGAGGACCCACAGTGACTATCATTAAAGTTAACAGTTATATCTTTGGTGGATACACTGACGTGTCCTGGACCAGTAGTGAGTAAAAAAACAAGCAAACATCTCTCACATGTAGAACAGATAATAAATCGATTAGTTGTGGACTTTTCTTGTAGCAGTGAGTTCATCTCAGAAACAGAAAATATCACATTAACAACTAAGATACCAAAGTAGACAAACTCATAAATAGCCTGAAAACGCGTTTGAAACGGGTTTTAACTTAAAGTCTTGTTTCGGATTTTGATTTTGATTTGATTTGATTCTGACAGCTCCGTTTCGTGTCATTTCCCCTTGTTTCGTTGTATTCATTATTCATATTGGAGAGCTTAAACAAAGGATGTTTAGTTAACTCTCTCTTTAGATCGTAAGCTGCCTTTGAATAAAACTTCAGACCATATTTCAAATGCTTTTTTTGAAAAGTGAAAATATGCTCTTGAGTTCCTTGAAATTTTCTCTAACAAATTGTTCAGCTCTAGTTCGGCAAGTTAAAAAAAAATCATTTTTATGGTTATCATCATGAATTTTATTTCTCATTCGCATAGTTTCTAATGCTCCTAAATCTTTTCATTTTAGGTCCCTGTGCTTATTCTTCAGCCAGCAAAGCTTTCGTTTTCTCTCTTTACAACGTCAAAGGATACAATCCTGTGAAGCTGACACAATATCGATACCAGCAATACGCAATGTACAGATGTTCCTCTTACGGACCCACTTTTGGTTGGGCACATGACATCTACATACGTGACGACGCTGTAAACATTCAGCACTCTTATGCTAGATGCGGTGGCACGTACTCCAACCCCACGGGCTATTCAGCTGGAGATTGTAAATTTTTCACAGGAGCATCAAATTTCACTCCATCTGACATCGAAGTTTTCTTCGAAATAATAAACTAAACACTAAAAACTGTGCTGTCTAAGTAAGTATCAAGTAAATGTCGTAACAATAGAGTTAATAGAGTTAGTGTCTCCTCGCACAAGGCCCGGTCAACAGAACTTGCCCTGTATTCTCTCAGTGCTTAGTCGCTTATTTCCCATTTAAAAAAGTGTTCTGATTGGTGGAAAATCTTAAGTTAATCGTACCGATAAACACATAATTTTAGTTAAAAAAGACTGCACTTTCTATTCGTTTACTAGCATAATAAACTACGCAGTATGTTGGTAGAACACTCAAAATGTTCGTAGATTATGAGCAGTGAAAGGGTGAGTTACAAACGTTCTCGTGTTCTCCCAACATCCTGTGTGGTTTGTTAAGCCAGTGAACCGATAGAAAGAGCAGTCTATTATAAAAAGACAGCGCATTTTAGGCTGGCAAGGTGGAGGGCGCCTCCATTGAGTAAACTCTGCAATTGGAATATCATGTTGTAGGTGAGAAATTCTTCAGTATTGGCTGTAGAGCATTCGAAATAACAGATCTTACAGTTAGAAAAACACCCAAGTTTTAAGCCCTTTCCCCATTGAAGATGAGGAATTTGGAGCGCGCACCGCCGTCGTGCGCTTTTATTTGCGTCGCACGTGCATTTTATTTTCGTTGCATTTGCACTTCATTTCCGTCGCACGTGCATTTCATCTGCATCGCACGTGCGTTTTCAGTCGCATCGCACGTGTTACCAGGCTCTACTTTAGTAATACCCCTCTCCACCCAGGAGTAGGAAATGGGTACCTGCAAAGTGCGGGAGTCAAAGGAACTTGACGAAAGGTTTAGGGTTTACATATACCCGCGAAATATTAGCATCCGGTCCGCGGTCAAGAGAGAAGAAGTGGTACCCCTGGTGCCGTCATGTTATTTACACCAGGAAATTTTGCTACAAGATTGACCGGAAGGTCAGTGTTGAAAAGAGTAGATATGAAAATGTTATCAGTTAAGTAATGTGAATTTTTTAAACTTTCTTTACGTGTGCATCATTTTAATCATTAATCAATAATTTTTTAGTGTTGAGATAATTATGTTGTTGTAGCTTGGGTGTTGCGCCGCGAGATGGCGAAAGTTTTGCTTCACAGAAGTTAAACACTTGCTACCTGTGATACGTTCCTACAAGAATTATCGAAAAGAGAAATTGCTTCTTTCCATTGAAGACTACCACAGAGGCATCAGCACAAGATGAGGGGTGATCACGGCCAACATTCTCATTCAAATTCTGTCGTAAAGAACCAATAATTTCCTTCTAATCAGAACTGAAATTGAGCCGGCAGAAGAGAATTTAAGAATTAAGAACAGCAATTAACAAATCAAAACCAATATTGACGAACGCAAAGGAATTAAGTTGACGCTGAAAGTCACTGATCAGATCTGCAATTGAGAACAACATTTGAATTATGAGAACATTTCTCTTTTCGTGCGTCGCCACAAGCCAAAAGTGATTTTTGGCTAGACTACCCGTTTTTGGATAATTCAGTACGTCTGAAATCGCCAGACCGCTAAATGTATCCCTTAATCTTTGGGGAACAACCAAACCTTTTTTAAAACTGTTGTGTCCTAAACCCTTTCCATGGGCAAAAAATGAAAGAGGACTGGCCGAAGAGAATTTAAGAATTAAGAACACAACAGAAAGCAATTTAGTGGACGCTGAAAGTCACTGATCAGAACCAAAATTGGACCATTAAATGAAAGAATACTTTTTTTGGACGGGAAATTGAAAGTCGAGAGGACTGCTCCTGGCGAAAGTGGCACTTGAGTAACTTTCTCGGGCCTCACTCGGTTACTCGTGATCGTGACACGTCCCCAGGCCTGATCAGAACAGAAATTGAACAGCGGAATGATCAGTTGTATTAATTTCTGTCTTGTTACTTCAATTTCTGTCTCATGTCTCAGTTTCTGTTCTTATGATTTAAATGTTGTTCTCTTGGTCCAATTTTGGTTCTGATCAGTGGATTAAATTTCTCTGAGTTGTGTTCTTAATTCTTAAATTCTCTTCAACCCGGATTTTCTTTCATTTTTTTGCCCATGAAAGGGGGTATATCACATACCCATCAGTTTTAAAAAAAGTTTGGTTGTTCCGTAAAGATTGAAGGATAAATTTGGCATTCTGGTGATATACAGACATACTGAATTATCCAAAAACGGGTAGTCTAGCCAAAAATCACTTTTGGTTTGTGGCGACACAAAAAGAGAGAAGTGTTCTTATAATTCAAATGTTGTTCTCTTGGTTCAGTTGTGGTTCTGATCAGTGACTTTCAGCGTCAACTAAATTCCTTTGCGTTTTGTTCTTAATTCTTAAAATTCTCTTCTGCCGGTTTAGTTTCGGTTCTGATGAGAATAAATGGAAATCGTTGATTCTAGACGAAAGAATTTGAAAGAAAATATTGGCGGTGATCACCCCTCATAGTACAAAGCCGTGGTTGCATTTCATTTTCCTTCTTTCTCAATTCATACTATGCTTTACTATAACAAAAATCAAAAGGAAATAACAAGAATATAATCATGCAACCCCAATATCAAGAACATGTCGCCCAAGGTTCAACTTCTTTTTTAATCTTATTTCATCATTAGGCTCGACTAGTCTGGTAGATTTTAACCAGTTAGAGGTGTAGCAAAAATCTTTAAACATTTTTATCCTAATGTAAGGGAATATTAAAAACAGTATGTAGTTTTAAGGGGGGTTAGAGGTGGATAGACACACAAAAAGTCAGTTCCAGTCTCCAAGACAGTAAAGACATGCGAAAGGGCGAGCAAACCACAAACGGCGGTTGTGGTTCTCAGAAAAACAGCTGAGCGCCGTTTTTCGCAGGCGATTCCAGATGGCTGAGAGCCTGCTACAGACTGAGAGATAAGGAGACTTGAGATTTGCGTTTAGCCTTACCTAGCCCCGATATTTAACATATGTTTAACTCATGAAAAAAAAACTTCAGTTTGTATAGAAACACTTTGTCGGACGGTTGATTCTTTCGACAGCGATGTGGTTATGTCATCCAGGAAGGAAGCCTTTTAACAAGGCCTCTGAATGAAATTTCGACCTCTCTTGTTCTTGATTTATCAAGCATGTCTGAACCTTAGGTCGATATCGAGTTATACAAAGAATTGGTCAAATATAATTTAAAAATTATTTGAACATCAAGTTTATATCTGATCATAACTGTGGCTGTCAGAAATCAACTGTAATCCTTTGAATGTAAATAAAACTAAGTTCACCACTCGTTTATTTTCATTGTGTTTCATTGAACCGTATTAAGATAACCTTCGGTCTCAGTTTTCAACGACTGATTGATGCACAACAGTATTAGATCAATGAACCGAAAGTAAAATGTTTGCACGTACACATGACGTGCCAGATCCAATGAGTAGTTCCACCTCGGCAAATTTCCCCTTTCTGGGTTTTCCCGCGCTTTTGAGCACCTCTTCATTTTCCCGCGCTCAGTTACGCTTTGTTCTTTCCCCTTCTTTTTTCCCAATTTCACCCATTCAATGTTTCCTCGCGCCAATCAACAGCTGTATACTTTCCTATGTTAGTCATTTATCAACTATTCCTTAGCAATCGTATTACATGCATTTCGAGTTACCACTTTGCCTCACTATAAATATGAGCTCGTGAAAGTTTTTTTGTTTCCTGTTTTGCAGCAGCCATTGCATGCTGATTTCATACCATAACCGCTAAATATTAATTATCTTTGTGAAGATCAGAGAAACGAACGGATGCATTTCAAAGAGTTGTAACTACCATATAATCTGTTGATGTCAGTATTATCTGACTATGCAGTCTAGATAAGTGCTAACTAAATATAGTAACAATAAACCTAACCCTTTACACTCTAACATCATTATGCATATTCTCCATACTGTTCTCTATACATCTCCTAAGGTGTTGACAAGGAGAATTTGTTGACAATCAAGAGTTTCTTTAGTCGACGATCATTTCGATTATTCTCATGACCTTTATGTGTGATTCTGGGGAGATAATGTAAGGAGAAATGAGATGCTGGTCACTCTTAAGGGTCAACAAAACTTGCTGTTTCTGCGATCTCATCGCACCGCCAGTGAGATGAGATCTCAGAAACATCATGCAATTTGCGGAGGAAAGAGTGGCTCTTTCCCTTGATCTTTCTATGTAACTAGCTGTGTTAGCTCAGTTACCAAGATTTTCGGTTTTTTAATGTTGTTATAAGGGTGATCACCATGATTTTTCACAGCAGAACTTTGTTTTACTCTGACTGACATCCAAGTATTTTATGAAATAAGCAACTTTACAATAATCCATACCATGTTCAAGAAATTTGTTTATTAACAGAGACAACATTACGAGGAATCATGTTACTACTGCGCATGCTTGCGCTCTTTTGTCGAATGAAAAAATTGTTACGCACTTGTCAGGAGAGAGAAAGAAAATATATCAACCCTTTGACTTCTAGGAGTGACTAGAATCTAATTTCTCCTTACAATATCACCCCTGAATCTAACATTAAAAACTTTTTCCAGCCATGAACCTTGTTTTACATGCCTGGGAATATAAAAATTGCAAACAAATTTCTTTTTAGCCTTCTTCCTAATAACTTACGCACATTGAAGACGTCAGTAACACGACTAAAACAAAACCAAACAAAACAAAACAGAAATATCGGAAGTTCAAAAAATTTAATTAATTTTCCATCAGTCTTGACGTGTGTGGTTCGCAAGGAAGATTTGAAGCTACATTTCGCTGTTTACATTTGAAAACGTATCATCGTATAAGGTCGGACAGCACCTGCGTCGGTATCAATTGCAAGAGCTGCGCTAACATACGGACAAGAGTTGCCAGCAAAGAAACATTTTCGGAGAAAACGGTAGGAAATAATTTGTTTGGGCTCAGTTGTAGAGTATTTCGTTTACAGATAGAGCTATGTCAGAATGGCATGGCTACGCAAAGGTACTTTCTGGTAAAGGAAAAAAAAAGGAAAATGAAAACTGTCGGTGTCTGGATGAAACCCAGAATTTATGTCAAAAAACTGGACGAGTTTTTTTCTGGCAACAAGAGGCTTAATTGCTGTGGTAATAGAGTAAAATAGGATGGAGGACATATTGGCTTAGTCGGGAGAGTTCTACGAAGGCAGCGGTCTCTTCTATTTTTTTTTTTATTATTATTTATTTTTCACTTCCATCCGTGTCTCCCGCCCTTGCCAAACCTTAAATATTTTTTTGAAAAATTTAAAACGCGAATAAAGATCTGAAATTCGTTTCACAAGTGCTGGAAAGCTTCTGCAAGGACTCAAATCCCAGCATATTGTGAAAAAGAGCTCGTTGATTGATAAACTAAGCATTGTATTACTCCCAAAAAAGCGCCTCGAAACTTCAGATTTTCAAACTTAGCTGTGGTGTTTTTGCTTCCTTTATAAACTCATGGTTGATTATCAACCAAGTTTTTCCTTTTGCTCGACGATGCAGTAGCGTAAAAGGATCTTTCAGAAACCGGCAAGCTCCTGTCTTTCGCCAAGTTTACATGCAAGTGCTCTTCAGCTTCCTACAAATATTGCGGAGATCATTTGGGTGAAGATAGAATAAAACGGTCGTGTTAGAAATCTAACTCAAGTGTGAAACATATCCTGATTCCCCGCGAGGATTCCAGCCTCAGACACTTAAAGCAGTCCCTGAAAAGCTCCGACTTTTCCATATTTTATTAATATTTTTGTTCAATAATGCAGTTTGAAAACTGTCCGTATTTTTTTTGGTAAATGAAGCATACCTTTTCCACCCAAGGACAGTAGCGTTTTCACAATCCACTCTACTGTCTACATTTCGCTGTTTACATTTGTTTTGTCACCCGGTACTCAACTTATCTCAATCTGTTTTGTATCTCCAGTTGCATGGACTGATAACTTGAAAATTCTTAATGAACGTGTTCAAAAGGAAATATCTTGATGTCCCCACTTTGCAACTTGAAAAGTTTAGTAACTCCGGCCGTTATGACTGCTTAGGGTTAGAGAAATCAGTGAAACGAGTTTTTGCCGGGAGGATCGCAAAAGTTTTCAAAAACAAGTAGGAGACTAACAAGGAGTCCGACTATTGAATAATTGATTAGTTTAAACAATTCTTAAACGAAGCAAAGCGTATGGACCTGAGTAAGATGTAAAATTTCAGCTTGGTCGTTGCATAAGAAAGATCTCTTGTCATCAGTAATGGAGAAAGAGCCGGGTTAAAGAAGCACACAAAGTTGAAATCCCATACCTCGCACTTTTTTAAAATAAATTTTTCAAAAAGAATTTGTTAGATATTGGCTCACTTTATTGGCAAGCCAACAATCAAATTGGAAAGTATTATTTTCAACAAAACTTCATACTGTCCAACTCGAGCAGCTGAAAATTTTTCAAGCTCTATGCAAAATTCTTTAAGTTGAGTTTTGCGGAAAATTTCTTATTTATGGCAGTTAACGTTTATAATAGGTTTTCTTACACGGTATTTAACTTTTTCTTGCAATCCTTTTTGTAACCCCAGTTACATGCACTGATAACTTAAAATTCTTAATGAATGTGTTCAAAAAGCAAAACCTCGATGTCCCCACGCAAATGTGAGTATTTCCAAAGTCACTTTTGACCTGTTTTTTTTTATTGGAAGGTGTCATACGAATCACTCAGAACTTTTCCATAGTCCTAAAAAGCCGCAGAAATGTTAACGTGAGGTTTTTATGACTGATTGAAAATTTCAAAATGTGATTAAATTTAGTAGCCATTATTCTCCTGGGTAATTCCTCAATAGGCAGGTACAACAACAGGATAATAGTGCCCAATGTAAATAAGATCCTTCCCACCTGCACTTGTGTCGGTATCAATTGCAAGAGCTGCAGTAACATACAGACAAGAATCGCCAGCAAAGAAACATTTTCGGAGAAAACGGTAGAAAATAATTTTGTTTGAAAACTGTAGGAGTTTCGATGAAACCCAGAACTTATGTCAAAAAGCTGGACGGGTTTTTTTTCTGGCAACGAGAGACTTAATTGCTATGATAAGAGAGTAAAATAGGATGGAGGAGATATTGGCTTAGTCAGGAGAGTTCTTACGAAGGCAGCGGTCTCTTTCTGTTTTTTTTTTTTATTATTATTTTTCACTTCCATCTATGTCTCCCACCTTCGCCAAACCTTGAATATTTTTGCAAGAAAAGTTAAAACGTGAAGAAAGATGTGAAATTCGTTTCACAAGTGCTGGAGAGCTACTGCAAGGACTCAAATCCCAGCATATTCTGAAAAAGAGCTCGTTAATTGATAAACTAAGCATTGTATTGCTCCCACGAAGCGACTATACTCGAAACTTTGAGTTCAGTTTTTCAAACCTCGCTGCGGTGGTTTTCGCTTCCTTTACAAACTCATGGTTGATTATTAAACAAGTTTTTCCTTTTGCTCGACGATGCAGCAGCGTAAAAAAATCTTTCAGAAACTGGCAAGCTCCTGTCTTATGCCAAGTTTACATGCAAGCGCTCTTCAGCTTCCTACAAATATCGCGGAGATCATTGGGTGAAGGTAGAATAAAATGGTCGTGTTAGAAATCCGACTCAAGTGTGAAACATTGATCCTTATTCCCCCGAAGATTCCAGCCTCAGACACTTAAACCAGTCCCTGACAAGCTCCGACTACAATTTTTTTCATTTTATTAATATTTTTGTTCAATAATGCAGTTTGAAAATTGTCCGTATACCGTTTGGAAAATGAAGTACACCATTTTCACCCAAGGACACTAGCGTTTTTACATTCCTCTGAACTGTCTACAATTCGGTGTTTACACTTGAAAACGTATCATCCGCATTAACACACCCAAAAAGGCTAATACAAGCGACGAGAAGAAGCGCATTTTTGTCACTGTTTTCAAAAGCCTTCGTTGTCACTTGTCGACACTAGCTTGAATTAAAACGGAACTCCTCAACAACGATGCATTTTCTAAATTTTTCTGGCCTCATGGTCTAAAAAATGAACCTCAGAGCTGCAACTTGTGGGTTCGGTAGTACATATAAATCAGCGGCGTATTTCACAATCGTCCCGTCCAACTCGTCTGCACATTTGTAATTCCACTCACTGTTTACCATGCAGTTCTTATGATGCTAGTTTGGAGAATTTGGCATTGGGTCACTAACAACTAATATTCCCTCAATTCATATTTCTCTTTATTCTCATTACTTGTCTGCTTGACATTGTACTGATATTGTAAGGAGTAATTCTGTCTTGGTCACTCTCCGGAGTGATGAAGTTTCAGCTTGGTCGTTGAATAAAAAAGATCTCTCATCATCAGTGTTGGAGAAAGAGCCAGGCTTAAGGATGCAGGCAAATTTGAAATTCTATACCTCACACTTCCTTTTAATAAATATTTTAAAAGGGATTTGTTAGATAATGGATCACTTTATTGGCAAGCCAACGATCAATTGAAAAGTGTCATTTTCAACAAAACTTTAATTAAACAGTCCAAGTCGAACAGCTGAAAATTTTTCATACGCTATGCTAAATTCTGTAAGTTAAGTTTTGCGGAAAAATTCCTCATTGGGTGCAGTTTATATTGGGTTTTCTCACTGGGTATTTAACTTTCTATTTCAATCTTTTTTGTAACCCCAGTTACATGCACTGATAACTTGAAAATTTTTAATGAATATGTTCAAAAGGCAATATCTTGATGTCCCCACCTTGCAACTTGAAAAGTTTACTAACTCCGGCCGGTATAATTGAGTGAGTATCAGAAATAAAACGAATTTTTGCCGGAAGGATCGTAAAAGTTTTCAAAAACAAGTAGGAGACTAACAAGGAGTCCGAGTCTTGAATAATTGATTAGTATACTTCTTAAACAAAACAAAGCGTATGGACCTTACTAACATGTAGAATTATGTCATGCAGGACCGCAAATAATTTTGTAGCCCGCAAAAATTAAAAGAACTATTTCGGCATCTTTTCAAGTTCTATACCTTGCCCTACTGGAAACTTCAACTCGAAAATCCAGCTCGAAGTCCAACTCAAAATCCTTACTCGAAGGAGTGTTCGCTCAAAAGTAGAATTTCGACTTCGTATTACGACCTCCAGTCGCCAACAATCGGTTTTCGATCGCTGTTCAAGTGACTGCTCGATAACGGACAAACTCCAAATTCTAACTCGTTAACAGCTCCTTACGAACAATCCTAACTAATACAGCTCTAACCAGCCTTTCTCCATTATTCATTTCATATTGCATTTCCTGACCACAATGCAAATCAAGCTAATGGTTAAAAACCGCAAGTATCGAATGACTAAATACGTTTTGGCATTGAACAAACATCCCTTTTCCTTAAATTTGAGGTCCAGTTTGATGAATATGTATGACTTTTCTGTGCTTGTAATCCTTAAAAAATAAACTAATGAAAATAAAGTCAAATTACAAACATAGAAGCATGCATGTTGATCGTGAACTCACGAAAACCAGTCTACGGATTAAAAAGAAGTTTAGGGTAAGTTTTAGCTCAGAAGATTGTTTGCCTTTTTCTTTTCAGGGAACATTTTTTCCCACATCATGCCCCGAGAGGAAATGGCCAAAAAGGTCTTGTACGCAGTAGGGCTGTTGATCAAAACCGTGCTGTTATGCTGTACAGCTGCACAGCAATGGGAGGCTACGGGCCAGCCGGAAGTTTCCAAATTTGGGATGATGCTACAACGCCACATCTTCAAGAGGATCACGGGGGCTGGTCTTTCAGATGTGTGCTTGCGGGGATGCTATGCTGACGTCAGATGTCAAAGTTTCAACTATGTCTTTACGCAAGACATTTGTGAGCTGAGCAACCGAACCAAGGAGGCCAGACCAGAGGATTATGTTCCGAACCCTGAGAGATTTTACTTTAAGCGAGATTACAAAAGAGGTTTGTACATTTTTGAATGTCTTCTTCCCTATAAAGACATTTTCAGAGCACAAAATTTCAACCCAAATTTTCTAGGAAATTTTAAAATTTAAGGAATTGTGTCACATCACCTCCCTTATTGCCTTAAGTCAAGTCACCCTCAATATGAGTGTCTTCGTTCCCAAGACGAACATAAAATCTTGCTTACTTGGAGTGCCATGGTAATAATTGCTTTTTTCTTCCAGTTCCTCTCGGTTCCATTCCTGAGCTGCCTGCGGAGACTTGCCAGGAAATCAAAATGAGCGAAGGAGGACAAGCGGTCAGCGGCAAATACTGGTTTCACTCGATTGTACCCGAGAGGACTGTTCTGGCTCCTTGTGACATGAAAACCGAAGGTGAATTTAAGTGTTTATCAATTCACATCTTCTACAGACAAAAATCGATTTACCACGAGCAAAAGCGTTGACAGAGATATTATGGGTAGACTGCAACTCCCTAACCCCCTCCCCCACCCCAATATTCATAGGGTGAAATGAGAAAATAAAGCAAAACAAAACAAAATAAAAATAGTAAGATATCTGACGGAAACAAAGCTATGAAGGAATGCTATAATCTCTCTTAAACTGATCGATTTGAGAACAGGTCAAATAGAATTGAAAAATTTCTTTTTTGACACAGAGATAATAATTCAATGGCAAATTGTTATTACAACTTTATAGTGACGAAATTTAACGAGTAGGGAAGGGGAAATTTTGCTTCCTGATGGGGTCGTACAGAGTAAAATTTTGGCTCCCGCCGGAAGCAATTGGTCTGATGAATCCACGAACGAGTAATAATTCAGCGAATACCCTCTTTTTTGCTTTTAAACCGACCGCAAACTATCCGTTTGTCAGACGTGGACGAGTGTAATTCTACAATTCCCGTGTGTGACGCCAACGCCGAGTGCGCGAACACCATCGGTTCTCACAGTTGCTCGTGCAAAACTGGTTTTACTGGAAACGGAAAAAAATGTGTCGGTAAGTTAGTGAAATGACTTTTACTATTGCCTGAAGCTAGTCATTTTAAAACAAAGCAAAACCAAAACAATTTCTGTTTAATCTGGACACTCGATTGAAAAAAATTGATTTAATAACCGATTGGAATTATACCCCACACCATGTCACGTTCAATTGCTTATACGGCGAGACGCTTTCGCCAATAACAGTCATTTTTGATCGACTCTTGCTCTTGAGTTCAAGCCATTTAGTTTTTTATGCATTCTCTCAGATGTCGACGAATGTGCCAATAAATCGCATGACTGTGATGCCAATGCCTCCTGTAACAATACCGCTGGTTCCTATCGATGCACCTGCAATTCCTGGTACCAAGGAAACGGAACAAGCTGCTATTTTCGTGAGTTTAACTAACACTGAGATACGAGTGACCTCAGTTTGTTATGATGCTCGCATTTCGCCTTCTCTATCTTTTTGTATCGTCATATGAAGCTTAAAATTTTGGAAATATATTTTTTTAACATGAGTCGGTCCTGAATCGAGACCAAGATGGAATTCGTCCCAAAAACGGGCTACATTATGACCCCTTACTCCCTAGCACCAGTACAGATATTCCCCTCGCTGTTCTCTACGCATACCGTGTGGTGCTGCCAAGGGAATTTGTTTGACAATCAAGAGCTTTATAACTTGGTGATTATTTCCTTTATTCCCATGTTTCTAATGTTTGGTTCAGCGGTAATACGGTGAGAAGTTAAATGCCAAACCCTCTTAGGGGTTAAAGGGTTGAAGAATACGTCTCACTTGGCGCCTAACTTACCACCCCCCACCCCCTCAAAAAAGAAACAGTTTCATTGATCTTTAAAGTCTGTTGCTTACAATTATGTCGAACTTTCTATGTTGATCAACCTTAATTCTTCTGTTTTCATTATTATCACGTTTTTATTGCGTGGTTTCCTCTAATTCTAAGAATACATTAATTGGTGCAAATAACGAGGCAAGCAAGCAAGTTGTAGACATTACCACCAACAAAATAACGAATGCAACATGACGCCAAAACTTCAAGATAGGGCAATCCTTACCTTTCCTCCCTTTTTCGGTTTTTCGTATAGGTGGCCTTAATAATTCCGTTATTCTTACCAGCCTCGACTACAACAACTACACAGGTAAGCTGCTTTCCTACCTAGAGCCAGTCCTCCTGAGTTCAGAGTGGAGCAGGTTTGTGAAGTGTTGGCACGCTAAGACAGACGGCTGGGCGGCATCGACATTCCATAGCAACTGTGATGGGAGGGGACCCACAGTGACAATCATCAAAGTGAACGATTCCATATTTGGTGGATACACTGATGTGTCCTGGGGACCAAGCGGTGAGCACGTTTTTGAATGACAAAATTTATATCACTGCTGTATCATACTGTAGCATTTGATGAATTTAAGATCCAAATATATTTTCTATCTGAACTGCACTTAATAAGTGTCGCAAAGCCAAAACTAAGTTCATTAAAATTGGCCAATCAAAACAATGGACAAGAACAAAAGCTGCGCGAGGCGCGAGAAAAACGCCATATACCAAGTCATACTTGGTATAAGACTGATTGACATATCTCAGGCTCAGGGCTTAGACCAGAATCCCCCTTCTCTCCCCTCCCCCCCCTTAGGATCTCTTGGTGCGTGGTAACGTTTCTATAGGGCTCCGCTATGACCCTTCAAAGTGCTCTCGTTAATAAGACTTTAGTTAGGGTTAGTTAACCGCCAAGGCGAGTTTATAGAAGCTTCAAAATTCGCTGCAGCTGTACCCACCTTCATTAACTTATACTTGTCATCCATTCGTAGATCATCCCACTTCTCTTTTTTGAGAGACCTCAAGGAATCGTAGGATGGTCTATATATATATATAGGTTCATGTGGGAACTCCCATGCTTGGAAAGCCTTTCTCTTCTCCCTCAGATCAACAACATCAAAGGACCGATCCATTTTGTTTTGTATCTTGATTTTCTTATCGTTTGAATTAAGAAACTATCCATAACTCGGTCTTAAATGTAAAAACGGTCAAAAAAAAATTTGCTTTTTGGGGCTGGTCCCTGATCCTCTACCTGTCTAAACTTTGAATGCATCTCTGCATTTCCATTTTAATCAACATTTTAGGTTCCTGTTTTTGGTCTTACGCTACCAAAGCCTTTTTATTCTCATTTAACAACGTCAAAGGATACAATCCTGTGAAGCTGACACAATACCGATACCAGCAATACGCAATGTACACATGTTCCTATTACGGACCCACTTTTGGCTCGGGACATGACATCCGCATATATGACGACGCCGTAAACAATCAACATTCTTATACTGAATGCGGCCAGACTTACTCCAACCCCACGGGTTATTCAGGTGTAAAATGTGGATTTTTCACAGGAAGCCATTATTTTACTCCATCTGACATTGAAGTTTTCTTCGAAATAGGTAAGTTATTGTACAGAAACACTTATAACCCTGTCGTAAATATACGATGAATGAATATATAAACTCTAGAATCCTTTGCAACGGTCAGGGATTCTAAAAGCGCATGTGCTGAACCATATTCAGCAGCGAAATACTATTCAGGTTATCGTGGCAGCAGTGGTAAGTGAATTGTATCTCAGTTCCGGGATATCAGTGCACATCAACTAAGTCAGGAAAAAAAATTGATCTAGATGCTTGCTTTGCCATGAAATTGAATCGCTGAGTCGGGCTGAAGCAGACAATTCAACCTAGCTAAACTGAACTTTTGGTTTTTGCTTGTCGTTTCCCAATTTTATACGAACTTAAGAAAATAGTTCCTCGTGAAATTCAGTTGATATGTTTTCAAAATAAATGCACAGGAAAATATTGAGCTCTATTCTAGAACGTCTGTTATTATAATTTTCGTTCGAGTTTCTTTTACGCACACAGGTGGCCTTGGTGCATCTATAATACTTGGAAGCCTGGACCCCAATAAATATTTGGGAAAGCTGATTTCGTTTTTAGAGCCAGTTCTTCCCGGTACATCCCGTACTGACTTTGTTAGGTGTTGGCATGCTAAGACTGACGGCTGGGCGGCATCGACATTCCACAGCAACTGCGATGGGAGGGGACCCACAGTGACAATCGTCAAAGTGAACGAGTACATATTTGGTGGATATACTGATGTGTCCTGGAGCGGAGGCAGGAATATCAAATTTTTTTAAGAGGAAATAAGACAATTATATAGGATCAACTATCGTTCCTTTTGGGATTCAAGGGGGGGGGGGGAGAGGGTGCTGAAGGAAATTTTAAATGATGCTCCTCTGATAAGAGCGCTTAGCCTTTATTATTTTATATTAGTTTTTTGGCCATCAAGATTTCTTCACACCTATATTGTCTATAGAAATGTTTCCTATTTGATACACCTGCAGAACAACATTACACCCTAAAACGTCTAGTAATGACAACACTTAGAACAAAGGGATCTTTTCCTTTAGGTCTCAAAATATTTACTCGCTTTTCTCCAGAATAACCCCTCAAATCTTTCATAACTGTTTTTGGTACGCGTTTCAATATCCAAACTAGTAAAATATCTCCCTCCCTTTCACAAATCTCTAGTCTGGAAAAAAAACTCCCCGTCTAGCTCATGATAGAAAATGAACTCCCCCCCCCTTCTCAGAGGGTTCGTGTTTTCTTCCAACTTTTTAATGTACGATCACATCGTTCTTCTATTTCAGCTGGTTCTTGCGCTTATTCCTACGCCAATAAAGCTTTCATCTTCTCTCTCTATAACGTCAAAGGATACAATCCCGTAAAGTTAACACAATACCGAAATCAGCAATATGCAATGTACAGATGTAATACGTATGGACCCACCTTTGGGAATGGTCATGATATCTACATATCCGACGGCTCCGGAAACAACCAAAACTCCTACACCAGATGCGGTTACACATACACGATACCCTCTGGGTACTCTTATGGTGACTGTGGTTTTTTTACAGGGGGGTCTAATTTCTCTCCAACGGACGTCGAAGTATTCTATGAAGCAGGTAATCAAGAAAAACACCCCTTTCCGAGGATAAATACTTTGTAGGGCCTGTAGAAAAATCAAATCGTGTATTGTAGAAACATCCTCAGAAAGTTGTGCTCCTAGAGTACAGATAGCTTACTTTTTGTCATTTCAAAGGAATATGCAAGCCTGTAAAGTCTCTTTTCCGCATTCATTTAAGTTCGTCACACAATAAGTGCACAGGGAAATATTGAGTTTGAATGGGATCACCTTGTCCTGTGAATAAGATGTGGGACCCTAATTTTTGTGAAAAACTCCCTCGGTTGTGAAAGAAGAAATAACATCTTTCTATACTCTAGAACGTCTGTTATTGTAATTTACATTCGAGTTTCTTTTATGCACATAGGTGGCCTTGGTGCATCTATTATACTTAGAGGCCTGAACCCCAATAAGTACTTGGGAAAGCTGATTTCGTTTTTAGACCCAGTTCTTCCCACTGCATCCCGTACTGACTTTGTTAGGTGTTGGCATGCTAAGACTGACGGCTGGGCGGCATCGACATTCCACAGCAACTGCGATGGGAGAGGACCTACAGTGACAATCATCAAAGTGAACGATTACATATTTGGTGGATACACTGATGTGTCCTGGAGCGGAGGCAGGCATATCAAATTTTTAAGAGGGGACAAGACAAGTTCCTTGCTTATGGGATTTAAGGGGGGGGGGGGGAAGAGGGTGCCGGAGGAAATATTAAACGATGCTCCTTTGATACTAGCTCTAAGCCTTTATTTTTTCATATTAGTGTTTTGGCCATCAAGATTTCTTCACACCAGTGTCGTCTATAGAAATGTTTTCTATGTGGTACACCTGCAGAACAACATTACATCCTAAAACATTTGCTTCAAGTCTCAAAAATATTTACTCGCTTTTCTCCAAAGTAACCCCTAAAATCTTCCATAATTGTTTTTGGTACTCGTTTCTATACCCAAACTAGTAAAATATCTCCCTCCCCTTCACAAATCTCTAGTCTGAGAAAAAACTCTTCGTCTAGCTCATGATGGAAAATGAACTCCCCACCCCTCTCCTTCCTCAGGGGGTTTATGTTTTCTTTCAGCTTTTTAATGTACGACTACATTGTTCTTCTATTTCAGCTGGTTCTTGTGCAAATTATTCCTACGCCAGTAAAGCTTTCATCTTCTCTCTCTATAACGTCAAAGGATACAATCCCGTAAAGTTGACACAATACCGAAATCAGCAATATGCAATGTACAGATGTAATTCGTATGGACCCACCTTTGGCGCTGGGATACCAATGTTCTCTTTCAATTCTTTCATAAAGAACCAACAATTTCCATTCCTTCTAATCAGAACTGAAATTGAGCCGGCAGAAGAGAATTTAAGAATTAGGAACAGAAATCAGCAAGTCAAAACCCAAATTGATGAACACAATTGAATTTAGTTGACGCTGAAAGTCACTGATCAGATCCGCAATTGAACCAAGAGAACAAGATTTAAATTATGAGAACGCATCTCTTTTTTTGCGTCGACACAAGCCAAAAGTGATTTTTGGCTAGACTACCCGTTTTTGGATAATGCAGTATGTCTAAAATCACCAGAATGCCAAATTTTATTCCTTAATCTTTGGGGAACAACAAGACATTTTTTAAAACTGATGTGTCCTAAGCCCTCTACATGGCAAAAAATGAAAGAAGACCGGCAGAAGAGAATTAAGAATTAAGGGCACAACAAAGGAATTTAGTTGACGCTGAAAGTCACTGATCAGAACCAAAATTGGACAGGAAATGAAAGAAAACTTTTTTTCGACGGGAAATTGGAAGTCAAGAGGACCGCTCCTAGCGAAAGTGGCACTTGAGTATTATCCCCGGGCCTCACTTGGTTACCCGTGATCGTGTCACGTCCCCAGGCCTGATCAGAACAAAGACTGAACAGCGGAATGATCAGATGTGTTAATTTCTGTCTTGTTACTTCAATTTCTGTCTCATGTCTCAGTTTCTGTTCTTATGATTTAAATGTTGTTCTCTTGGTCCAATTTTGGTTCTAATCAGTGGATTAAATTTCTCAGAGTTGTGTTCTAAATTCTTAAATTCTCTTCAACCCGGGTTTTCTTTCATTTTTTTGCCCATGAAAGGGGGTATAGGACACATCAGTTTTAAAAAAAGTTTGGTTGTTCCCCAAAGATTAAGGAATAAATTTGGCATTCTGGCGTTATCCAGACATACTGAATTATCCAAAAACGGGTAGTCTAGCCAAAAATAACTTTAGGCTTGTGGCGGCGCAAAAAGAGAGAAGTGTTCTTGAAATTCAAATGTTGTTCTCTTGGTTCAGTTGTGACTCTGATCCGTGACTTTCAGCGTCAACTAAATTCCTTTGCGCTGTGTTCTTAATTCTTAAATTCTCTTCTGCCGGTTTAGTTTCAGTTCTGATGAGAAGAAATGGAAATTGTTGGTTCTTTATAGCAGAATTTGAAAGAAAATATTGGCGGTGATCACCCCTCATAGTACAAAGCCGTGGTTGCATTTCATTTTCCTTCTTTCTCAATTCACACTATGCTTTACCATAACCAAAATCAAAAGGAAATATCAAGAATATAATCATGCAACCCCAATATCAAGAACATGTCGCCCAAGGTTCAACTTCTTTTTTAATCTCATGTAATCATTAGGCTCGACTGGCCTGGTAGATTTTAACCAGTTAGAGGTGTAGCTAAAATGTTTAAACGTTTTTATCCTAACGTCAAAAAACAGTATGTAGTTTTAAGGGGGGTTAGAGGTGGATAGAGACATAAAAAGTCGGTTCCAGTCTCTAAAACAGTAAAGACATGCGAAAGGACGAGAAAACCACAAACGGCGGTTGTGGTTCTCAGGAAAACAGCTGAGCGCCTTTTTTCGCAGGCGATTCCAGAACCTGCTACAGACTGAGAGATAAGGAGATTTGAGATTTGCGTTTAGCCTTACCTAGCCCCGATATTTAACATATGTTAAACTTACCATGAAAAAAAACTTCAGTTTGTATAGAAACACTTTGTCGGACGGTTGATTCTTTTGAGATGTGATGTCATCCAGGAAGGAAGCCTTTTAACAAGGCCTATGAATGAAATTTCGACCTCACTTGTTCTTGATTTATCAAGCACGTCTGAACCTCAGGTCGATATCGAATTATACAAAGAATTGGTCAAATATGATTTAAAACTTATTTGAACATCAACTTTATATCTGATCATAACTGTGCCTGTCAGAAATCAACTTTAATCCTTTGAATGTAAATAAAACTAAGTTCACCACTCGATTACTTTCACTGTGTTTCATTTCACCGTATTAAGTTTTCAACGACTGATTGATGCACAATAGTATTAGAGCGATGAACCCAAAGTAAAATATTCGCACGTGCACATCGCGCGCTAGATCCAAAGAGTAGTTCCACCTTGGCAAAATTTCCTTTTGCTGGGATTTTCCCGCGATTTTGAGCACCTCCACATTTTCCCGCGCTTACTTACTGCTTTGTTATTTCCCTCTCTTTTTCCCATTCAATGTTTCCTAGCGCCAATCAACAGCTGTATATTTTCCCATGTTCATCATTTATCACCTATTCCTTAGCAATCGTATTATTCTGCACTTGCGCTGTAGTAGCACGCCACTTTGCTTTACCAAAAATATGAGTTCCCGAAAGATGTGAAAGAAGGAGTTCAAATTCAGATCCTGCTGAATTCATTTGGATCTCCAATATCACTGTTTTAGCCTCTTCGAGTGATTATATCCTACACAAGTACTACTTGACCCCTTAATTAATGCGTATCGTCATTTTCCTTGTTAGGTACAAGTTTCACCACTGATTGGCAAGCTGCCAGAATTATATGACGTTAGAAAAAATCTTGTACCATTGTTTTTAATAATCTTAGTCTTTTTGCAATTGTCATTTCACTTTGTAGCCGATTCTTGCTATCATTATATAAACCTGAGTGAAGCCAATCGAAAGATAAGTTGCATAACACATTACGATTCAAAGTTGTGTGACCGCCAGCTCCCTGAGGGATGGTACCGTTTTGTGGGAGCTGCAGGAAGAAAATTGCCAACAACACGTGCGGTAGCGTATAGATGTGGTACAGACTGGTCAGGCTGGTTGGATGGTGCTCATCCCACAGAGGAAGATGATGAAGTTCGCAGGATGGTCTGCTTTAGTATCGTCTAAGACCCCGCTTTACAAATACTCAACAAAGATTTCTGTTTAAAACTGTGGATCCTACTTCATCTACAAACTTCATCATCCGCCAGGTTGTGTTTCACGCTACTGTGGTAAAGACTGAATATGAAGCAAATTTACGTTGCGCAGTAAGAGGACTCATCGTGATAACTAGCTCCGTAGGTACATGTGTATAAGGCTTTTAACATGTGACGTAGTTAACCTGTCATCTTTTTGGACGGTTAAGAATATATGAAGGTCATATATTTGAACTGCGGATAAAGACATGAATGAAAGTGATCTTCGCAGTGATGTGCACTACTTAGGCAGTAGTGAAAATAAGGCCTGAAAAAAAAAAATTCAGGCCTGTACGGATCCCGTACAGGCCTGAATTTTTCCCCAAACTCCCAAAGGCCTCTGCCTGATATTTCAATAGTATTAGCCTACTCCTCCATTCACTTTATTTTCATTAGTCTCCTATCTACAATAAGAGACTTGAACACAAAACAAATGAGGCAAAGCAGAGGCAAGTTTGCTAACAACCTCAAAGTCATGGTGGAATATCATAAAATCTTAGGCGGAACTGATATCAGCTTAGTCATTTGTCAGCCTCGGCTTTTTGAACTATATCAATAGATGGGCCTATTATAATTAATCTCACTATTGAACAAAAGTGTGTATAACTATGCATAAATAACTCTTTACTAGGTGGACTATTTTCAGGTGAGTGTAAAAGAGAAAACTCGAAAGTTCATGTTTACGGTCATTGGACAAAAGAGAAAAAAAATAAGAAAGGCAAGAATAACAACAACGGCAGCAACTACAATGACACTAAAACTGGTTGTAATGATTAAAAATCGATCATTCAAGTCTTGTTTTGACTTTGCATCTCACTGGCTTAGCATCAATTGCAAATATATTGTCTGACAAGATCGTTAGGTAAAGAACAGAGAAAGGAAAAACAGTCACAGGCCACTTTTGACACTCCACTGAAAACTGTTCCACAGATTGAATTAATCTTTGTCAGTTTGCTTAATTAAAAAAATGAAGAAAAGGACAGGCGTCTTGATTAACCTCTTTAATTATCAGTGTTTGAAACAAGCAAGGAAGCGAAGAGGAGAGGCGGGGAGAGAGGTAGGGAGCGGTGGGGAGGGGTTGAGAGGGGTGGGGAGAGGTGGGGAGGGTTCCGATACACAACTAAAGAATAAAACCATTGCTCTCGTAAATAGTTAAGAATTGCAATGAATACCACTTTGAAATGCTTGGTTGTCATTTTCATGTTATGCAAGATATAATTTCCTTGAGTTACTTGTTGCCTTGTCTTTCCATGCGACGAAAATATTTCAGCTCGGTCTCACTTGACTCTGGGTTGTTCTCACCAAATATACACCACGCCTTGAAAATCTCAATTTCAAAATAAATTCTACTTTTTACCAACTTTTCAATCTGTTACCATTACCATAAATAAGAGACTAAGAGACGATCTTTGAGCTAGAAAAAATTTACTGAAATGGCAGATAATTTGCATCAAGAGGTTCTCTTTAAAACAAATTTTTGTTCACCCGCCATGAGATTATACAATTATCATATGATAAACAAGCTATTTTTTTGGTTAAAAAAAACACGTTGATAGTCGAATAGTTTTGCATAGGCTGTATGTATTCAAGTATTAACTGATCAGAAAGAAAATACATGTTTTTGGTAAACGTACAGAGCTATTGGGAATTAGAGATTTCACAAGAAAAAAGACTCCAAAACTGGCCAAGTTTTCTTTTTATATTAATAGGGTAGCTCATTGTGATCTTAGCCCAAAGAGAGACAAGTCCTGCTACTTAATTTGGTGCATCAGTATTGTTATTTCACTCATCAAATTTTTGAGGTTTTTGAAATCAAAATATGCAAATGTTTTCACTATTTCTCAAAACAATGTTTTTTGTAATTTTCTTAATCTTTCGTCACTCATATTTTAAAGTTCTTGGACAGCATAATCCGCTGAAAAAGCAAAGAGGGTTTCTTTCAATTTGTACTTTAAAGATGCAAGACTTGTCTTTGAACAACACGACTGAAGTCGTCAACTGTGGCTACAAACATAATTGAAATATAAGAATATTGAAAACACCATACTTTTTATATTGAATAGTTTTAACTCCTCCCTCGTCGATTTTGAATGATATCGAAAAAACGCATTATTTTCTTTTTATTTTCAAACTTATATGACACGGAATTCACTTAAAGACGAGTAGGGGTTCTCTTTATTCATGTTTTAAGAATGCAGGCAGCCTTTCTCCCATGAAATTTTAATGTGTTCGTTCAATGGATCGTCCATCCCTTTTTGTTCAAGCTTATGAAACTATTTACACTTGATGATTCGTGTCCACGAAAAAATTCATAACCAAATGATGACACAAAAATAAAGTATAATGGGTGCCTGTAAGGAACAAAAGAGTGTTATTCCTTATTCTTAAGTTACCTTTAAGAGTGCGTGCGGTTCCCTTTATCATTACACAGTCCTTTTTTATCTTTACGGCGGATGGCAAGTTTGAGAACGTAAAATATGTTTCTGTTTACCTTAAGTAACACTCGATACTCTCATACTGCTACGAAAAGTGATATATAAATTCTAAGCCGTTTCAAGACTGTAAAAAAGCAGTGTGATATATTGTCAAGGACCAGACAGGAACAAGAAATTAATTATTGATAAAAGTTTTTCTATTGACTGCTGTGACTGCAGCTATAATTATAAGACATTGTGATGACAGTATTCCTTTTAATACGTTTTGAATTTCTTACAGCAGAGGTGTTACATCTTGAAAGGTAAGCCAATTTTCTTTAACGTTAGAGAACACTGGAAGAATGAAAAACAGCATTTAAACTATTTGGTTACCTACAACTTCTTCCTCTTGAGAGAACAAAGAGGAAAAAAGTTGTTCGAACGAATTCGATGCGATAATCCCTCGTATCTGAAGAAAATAAGCTTAACTTAAAAGCGATTAGCTTTGAGTTTTACAGTCCTTGTATAGGATTTGCTTTTCCCTTTTTTCTGCTGACGGATGAGATGTTAAATTTGACTTGATATTTCTAATTCTCTAACTAACAGCGTAAGGATTTTCTTCAAAGCGACGGATTCAAAACATGAGCTTTACATCACTTTTTTAAAACAATCTGACCAAAAAGGACATGTTGATTCATATTGGAAATTCTCTGTATTACATCTCGAATTTCAAGTCCCAATGCAGCAATGTGAATATGGCAATAGTATTCTTCACAGGTGATAGGAAACCTTTTAATTATGGCAATATTTGCCAGTGAATGAAGAAGTTAAAATGGCATTTTTTTTATCTAATTTTTATCTACTTTGCTCCTTTGATGAGCAAAGTTTTGGAACACTTTCCTTTCTTTAATTTTACGCGAAAGAGATTTCATCAATTTGCCACTGATTTATAATCTGACTTAAAGTCATTGTGGGGAAAAAAAGCAAGTCAACGTGACTCTACTAAACTCGCACACCCACAAAATTTCGAATAGTTACAAAAACTGAACAGTTTCTTTGATATCAGCTTAGATTTAGAAAGCTTATTTGGCCCACCGTTTTATTTTCTCGCTGTTTAGAAGTGATGTTTCAGAGCATTTTTGTTTTCTGTCATTTATGGCAGTGAAATATCTCACAGTTTCAAAACATGGCCAAAATTATCATATATATATATATATATATGTATATATATATATAGAACATAAAAAAACCACGATATTTTCATAGGGATATTTTTTAATACAGTAGCTACAAGCATGCTCCCTACAATATCAGCTTTGATTGCCATGCATGGAAGGCCTGTGTATTTGTATTTAACATGATGATGGTCAAATTCTACTTTGATTCTACTTTCCTCAACAGTTTTGAGGTTTTGCGGTGCCTTGAAAGAGATCAAATGAAAAAAAATTGTGTAATTGCGTCCACGGGATGTCTTTCTTACAATAGGAACCTCATGGGGAGGCTGGGGCAATTTCCATTCTCTAAACAATGTCTTTAATGCATCTTTATTTCAAATTCACAATTTTGGTCCCGGAACTATAGCTAAAAACTTTTTATTGTATTAGGGACTTATCTTGGACCAAAGTTTCAATGCACAAAGGCTGTGCATTAAGAAACTTGGCTACTTGGTAACAATTTGACACAATGTGCTGATCTAATTTCTGGAGGGCTCTTCTAAAGTATGTCAACACATTATTGTAAAATGTTTGAGGGCACTCGTTTTTGAAAAGAGGCGAATTATATATCTTTTAGACCTAAAAAAGGTTCTGAGAGCTGATAATCAAGTCTCCCTGACGTTGGAGAGTGCGGGGGCTCTAAGGAATAATTGCGTGTTTACCATCCGTTATTCCTTTCGGTTCCATCTATGTCTCACGCCTTCGCCAAATCTTGAATATTTTTGCAAGAAAAGTTAAAACGTGAAGAAAGATATTAAATTCGTTTTATAATTGCTGGAAAGCTACTGCAAGGACTCACATCCCAGCATATTCTGGAAAAGAACCCATTAATTGATAAACTAAGGATAGCAATATCTTGATGTCCCCACTTTGCAACTTGAAGAGATTTTAGTAACTCCGGCCGTTATAATTGAGTGAGTATCACAAAAAAAATAAAGGATCGCATAAGCTTTCAAAAACAAGTAGGAGACTAACAAGGAGTCTTGAATAATTGATTACTTTAAACAATTCTTAGACAAAACAAGGTGTATGGACCTGACTAAGGTGTAAAAACACTAACACACAGACAAGAATCGCCAGAAAACAAACATTCTTGGAGAAAACGGTAGGAATTAATTTGTTTGGGCTTAGTTTTGGAGTATTTCGTTTACAGATAGAGCTATGTCAGAGTGGCATGGCTACGCAAAGGTATTTTCTGGTAAAGAAAAAAAAAGGAAAATGAAAACTGTCGGTATCTCGATGAAACCCAGAGATCATTTCAGAAAATTGACGAATTTTTTCTGGCAACAAGAGGCAATTACTGT